CGCTCGATTGCGAGGAGCGCATTCGATTTTTACGATGTTTCGCCGTCGTGTAGAATAATATCATCATTGTTATATTGTTATTACTGTGCAGTACAAATATCCCTAAAATTATAATATCTATGACGCGGGCACGAAATAATGTCGTATTGAAAAATAATAATACCTATATTATTACGTGTTTTAGACTGAGCTATGGGCGCTCAAAACAATTTTACATCGCATTAAACATGGGTGGGTAGGTCATATCCATTGTCAAACTTTTCAAATTGTAATGGAAGTAATTTAAAGGAACTGTTGAAATTGATTTTCGGATAGTTGGGCGTGAAAAATTATATTTTATATGATAAAAAATGTAACAACAAATAAATGATAATATTTTTTTTTTAATATTTTTTTATTACATAAAGTTTTTCTGACGTACGTCGTCTTAACTTATTGTCGATAAGTACATTTTTTTTTATCATATGAAAATAGATAACAATTAGTAATTTGTAGTAATATTAGTAATGAAATATGCTAACCAGCTACGTTTTAAGTTATTTACAAATCAGCAGAAAATTAAAATTAAAATTAAAATTAAAATTAAATTAAATTAAATAAATATAGTTATAACAGCAGTTCGTGAGGACGTTTACGCTTGAGTCGGAATACTGCAGGTGGGTCACTTAATCTATAAAATTTAACAGTGTGTGCAGAATTTTTATGTGGTCGAAGTATAATATTTTAGAGTAAATAATTGTGAATTACATTAAATAATCACTACAAACATAGTTTTTAAATTGTTCAATAGGATTATTCGAAAAAGAATGTTTTGCTATATGAAAATTTGCTCTCTGCTTGGTCCAAGCTTTCTGGAATCTGGAGTGTATCCGAAGTAAATGCCACGTCGCAGGAAGTTAAATTTAAACGGACAAACATCTAACAAATATGTAACACCTACCTCAAATATCAAACTTATTATACCCGGTAGTACTGGTAGTACCCTAGCCCAAGCAATAAAATATTGTAGCCCCCCCCCCTAAAAAGAAAACCTGGCTACAGCATTGATTGTCTTATTTCTCATTTTTGTCTAAACCTTTCTTCCTTTTCAGAAATGATACATTTTATGCATAAAAACAATAGTTTTATTTTTTAGATTGGTACCTGTTGAGAGGAACTAGTTGTGATTCTTGGAACGTTCATCGGACTTAAGATTATTTTTTATTAAAAATGCTAAACATATTTATCACCAAAAGACAAAAATTTCACTGTTAAATAAATATTTGTCATTAATTGTCAATCACCAGTCCGTTATTAGGACAGTTGCAGTGTGCCTACTGTCTGAACTTATGAACTATTAAGTATTACCCAATAACTAGTCTAATGAAATAAAATAAAATCTAATTATAGGTCGAAAAATACTACTTTTAAAACATTTTTTGGTCGAATTGCCAGGACCCAACTTTGGTCGAATTATTTTTAGATATGTCATAGCGGATTTTGTTTGTTTAATATGTTTGATACGTATAGTTTTGTATAAGCTGGTGGATATTTCCTGGTTGATGTATGCATATTACCATTTTTCCACTTGAAAAGCATTTGAATATTTCTAGGCATTCTTGCTTAAGAAATAAAATTTAATAATATTAAATGTTAACCTAACCATAATATTTTATGTTTTGTTTTTTCAGTCCATACAAATAATCATGCATTTGATGATTCATTTTTCCTTTAATTCTAGTGAACCATTAAATAAATATATTTTATATACGTGGCTTAAACTTCGTTCATAGGTCTATTGTCTAAAATTAAACTTAAATAAAAATGTTAGTATATGATCACACTTATTCAGTTGTATAATACTCAATTGATTCACTTACATTTGGTGATCGTGGGCAATCGTGGGCCACTAAATCATATTTATTAAACATTGTTTGAGGGACTATTTAAGCTATTGGTTACTATTGATGAGTGATTTTTTATGCAACCCATCATAAATCATATAAAATGAACTAATTATACGGACATTTAACAAAAATATTATGTATTATTTTCTTTTAAATATTAGTTTCATCTTAAATTGGTTTTGAATAATAATTGCAATGATAATAACTTCTACGAATTCAAATTCATTGTTGTAGTTCAGAGTCGGATCAAGGAAGAACTTCTTGATTATGATCACCTACGTCTACCATGAGAATGTCGTAATTCGTATAGTCAAATCTGTATGACAAAGAACATTTAAGCTTAAAATAATATTCAAACGAGCAGTAATAATGACACTCACCTTGTCTCATTACAATAAAAGTCATGAGTAACAAATTTTGTAAAATGATCAAAGTTGTAACTCATTTTTTGATATTCGTAATTTATTGTTGGCTTAAAAATTTTGTTTCGATTTTCTGTAAACATATCTGTTTCGTTTTTTTTCAATCGAAAATAAAATTTGCATATCAAGTTGAGTTTTGCACACATGATAAATTCGTCACAACAATAATAGCAAGAGTAACTAATTTTTCATCTCGGCTTACCTTTGCTATAACCACAATTTATACTATATAATATTATAAAGAGAAAATATTTGATTGTTTGTTTGTACTTTTAATTTAAAGATGGTCTAAGATGTTAACGTTGAATATACCATATTTATCATTTTGTTGGTAATTATTTTGTGCCCGACATTTTTCCACTCACTTAAACAATACGCAATTGCTTCTGCTGCCTTCGTAGAAATACATATTAATTTAATTATTAGTATACAACTAGTTAAGTATTATATTAATTAGTACGAATTATTTTATAGTTAAAAAGGTTTTCATTCAATGGGATATAGTTATATTTTTTTTGTATTTTTTAATATATGTGTTACAGTTAAAGTGTTGAATCAGTTCGTTTATGAAATAACTAGGTAATTTATAAAATAACTAAAACTTGTAGGTAATGTATATAATTTATACTTTAACTAGTTATTTTATACATTCTCTGGTATCACTTCGTTAATGTGTCAAATTGTAAATAACAAAATATAATAAATATAGTTCTAACATTTTCATCAATTTAATATAACAAAATCAGATAAGATTGACCTAACCTTTTATTTTTTATTTATTCGATACCTACCTACACATTATAATTAAAAGAGTGTTATTACAACTATACTCTCGATCCCAGTTCACAGTTCACAGTATGTAAAGAAAATTTGTTAGCTGTAGAAGTTCCAAATAAAAGTATTACATTAAGATCTGCGGCAACTGCGCAGTCACTGGGAACTGGTCAGGGTTTTTTTAAGTGAACTTGCACCAAGCGATATGTTTGTAGAAAAAAAAAGTATTGTGCAACTCTAAATGCCATAATAGCCTAACATGAACAAATATAAATAAATAATATAACTATAATTAATTCAGTAAAATAAAATATTTTAATATATAGGTACTTTAAATTTTAATGTATTTTATACTTTAACGGGTATCAAACTGAAATTGTATATAATAACTAGATATTCTATGAAATAACTAGTTAAAGTACAATTTTCATGTATTGTTTCATACTTTAACTAACATTCGTAGGTAATTCATGAACTACTTAGTTATTTCATAAAATAACGGAATTCAACACTTTAACTGTAACATATGCATATTCATAGAAGAGCATTATGTGAATGAAGAATATTCCTTACATATATTACATATATTCTTAATGAATATTCTATTATTATTTTATTAACGTCCATGTGTTACTTGGGCTACCACACACCTGGTGTGCACTTATTGAATCATACTTGACCGACCGAAAATGTCGTCGAGTCATGCACGAAGAAGCGATAACCGAATCCAAATACATATCAGCTGGAGTACCGCAAGATAGTGTTTTAGGACCTATCCTGTACTTACTCTATACGGCTGATATACCATACGATAACAGCACAACGTTAGCCATGTTTGCCGACGATACGGCAATATTGTCGACATGTAATAGTTAACTCACTGCAACTGATAACTCAATTGACAATATCTTTGCCTATTGCCTGGACGAAACGCTGGAAAATTAATATCAATGGCGATAAATAGGTGCACGTTAACTATACGTTAGGCGAAAACCGAAAACATCCAAATAGTACTGAATCAATCACCAATCCCACATAAAGATTCAGCAATTCAACTCGTCCAAACTGGATACACAATGTTCGTCAAAAAAAATGTGAAAACTTTATTGGTTAGTCGGACCCTGCTCCGAGTTAACTATCGGAAACAAACGTCTACTGTATGTAGCAATTATAAAACCGATATGGATTTACCATGTCCGAGGTACTAGGTCCGATCCAGGGCCGTCCCGAAGATGAAAATCAAGGGGGGGGGGGGGTGAATAATCTAAAAAATGCCGACTACAATTTTTTTACTCTATGTATGTAGTAATAGGTAAGTTATAGTTAACTATGTGTGGTCGTGTACTCTTGTTTTTACTTTTTAACATGTATATATTCTACGGGTGGCCAACCGTCGACGCGGAAGTGGTACATACATAAATAATCACATTAATAATCATTTACGACTAACACAGATCCCAATACCTACAACGAGATTAAAACTACGTAAATGTTGCCCCTTGAATAATGAAATGCATAATATTGTTATTGACTTATAATTTATAGATATCAAAAAAATACCAATTTGAAAATGTAAATTTAAAATATTTTTTTCATTTTTCAAAAACAATTATCTAAAATTATTTCTAATAAGTACATGGATACATGACCAAGTATCAACATATCAAATGTAAATAGGATATAGCCACATAGGTACTCAGAACTCACCTTAATATTGTAAGAATCTTAATTTGTTGCATACAATAATACTAGGGTAATCTTTTTTAATTAGTAATAAGTAATAACCTATATATACACTTATATTTTTATAAAAAAAAAGAACAATTGTGTATTTAAAATGCAAATTCTATTATTTTTTTAATTATAATTTTGTAGGGTATATAAATATCAATTATAAATACATGATACAATTTAAAAATTACAATAATTGAATTCTTCGATTTTTTAAAGATGCCCAATCATTGACAATTTTGCTCAAATTAAGTTTATCTACTACGTCTTTCTCTATACCAAGAATCATCATTGAATTTAATCTGGAGTCACTAATTGTAGACCTTAAGTGGGTTTTTATGAGATTAAGCTTACTAAAAGTTCTCTCATTTGTTGCAACACTGACTGGAGCTGTAAGAGCTAGATCACAAACTGTTTTTGCTAATGGCAAAATATGTTTCATCTCTTCACATTTTTTAAATGTATTAGCAGTTGTCGTCAAATCAGACTGAATTCCTATACTTCTCAAAATTTCCAATTCAGCTTGAACTGCTTCCGCATCTTTGCATTTTGCCAAAGAACTATTAGGTGGAAACAATAACAATGCATTTTTAACATTTTCAATAGAAATATCTTCGTTCTTAAAAGGGACTGAAAATAATTTATACAACGGCAAAATTATGTCAATACATTTTTTTAAATTTTCTTTAGATAAATTAATAAAAGTAGATAGAACACACTTGAATTCTTTTCGATAAAACGTGTGCATGTTGAATTCTACCTGAGTTTTAGAGTTTTTGTCTAACCAAGTAAGCGGCTTTTTAGGACGATGGTGTATTTTAAAATCGTTTTCTGGATTTATTAATAAAGTTGATGAAAATGATATAGCACTGTCAATTAAATTATTCATTGAGTTTGTATTTGAGTTAATTTCTTCTAAAATTTGAATAGTTGTATCTATTAAAGTAGCTGCGTCAACTAAAGATAAATTTTTTGTTTCAAGAGTTTCTGTAAGAGCTTTTAATTTATACATAATATTTTTCATAAATACTAATGAGACTATAAAATCAAAGGAGTGTAGCTTTTTGTTAAGACCATGAGCTTTGGTTCTAGTCATTCTATCATATGAATCTTGATGTGAACTAATATAATGCAAACTATCACAAATCGCTTCAAATGAACACCAAACAGCTTTTATAGACTCTGCCCTAGCTGTCTATCTAGTTTTGGACAGGTTTCTCAGCTGTAATACATTATCCAAGTCGCTCATTTCTTTACACAAAATGTTGTATCGTTTATTAATAGCTGAAAAGAAAACGTACAAACTTTCTAAGTTGTCAATCATATTTGAAATTATCAAACTAGAATTACATCCGTGCTCTATAAAAGTGTTTATTCAGTGTGCTTGACATGGAATGTAAAGGACATTATGTCCAACTAATTCTGAAACTTTAGCTTGAGCTCCATTTAATGAGCCGGACATATTGCTGGCAAAGTCATAGGATTGAAAAGCTAAAATTATCTGTACACAGAGAGTTCTTCGTCAAAATATTAATAATTTCTGTCGCAGTTCCTAGACCTGTCTTGTTTTTTAATTCTGCAACTTCTAATAGTCTTTTAACTGCTTGTCCTTTGCTATCAACATATCGTACACAAATTGCCAAACAATCTTTGAGGGAAATGTCCGGTGTAGTATCAGCCATAACTGAATAAAACAGCGCCTCATTACTTAACATTTCAATAAATTCATTTTGTGAACGTGGTCCGAGGTAGGTAACTTTATAAGGTCTTAAAGATATGTCACTTAACCATCGTTTCATTAATGGATTGTGTCTTGATAATAACTGAACTAATTGATTGAAATTTCCGCTTGATTCGTCACCGTCCCCCCGAAAAGGTAATCCTTGTCTACATAGTATACGAGCTATGTCAAATAATATTAGAACAATTTCTTTATTAAATTCTTTTTCTTGCTCTAATTTAATCAAATCACTTCTTCTAGATTTATTCAAAATAATATCGATATGATTTGAATTTTTCATGAAATGGCAATAATCACTTAGAGCAGCCTTATGAGATTGACAGTTAAAGTGTTGCTCCAATTTTCCAGGCTTCTTAATGCCTCTGCTTTTCATCTGGTGCCATGAGTTTACTCCAATAGTGGTCCATGATGAATTTGCATGTGATCGACCCAACCCAATTGGAAATAATGAACAAACAAAACAGTGAACAGTGTCTTTAGACAAACTATATTCTAACATTGGATATTCTTTATACCAACTTGGATTAAAAGAACGTTGTTTTGATTTTTCTATGCTATTATTAACTGTGTATCTTATAAGCTTAGGTTGACGTGGTCCTAAATTTATAAGAAATTGCCTTTGACTAGCTGTTACAAATACATACTCGAAACATTTTGAAGAGAATTACTTGGTTCTGGAGTAAGTAACCAAGTAAATCCTACCACATGATTACTGAACTTCAGTTTTTCGAAGCACATCTGCTTGATATCACAATTAATTTTCTTAATAACGGAATTATTTTTATCAGCAAAACGATCATCTATTGTACAAATTCTATCATGGTCATTAAATTTTTGTTTGCGCCAGGCACATTCTTTATCGGTTACAGATATGTTTTTATGAGCATGCAACAATAAGGCTGTCATTTGACTGCATTTAGTTTGTCCAACAGCACAAGTACACTTTGCAAAGTCAATAATGTCATTATTAAGGCGGATCTAAAAATTTAAAAATACTTTGAATCAATCTCCATTTAAAAGAATTTTTACATTATTTGTTTAAATTACCTCAACCTGATTAATTTTTTTTTCATGCTAGAATGAACACTGCCTGTTAAAACACCCAGAACAAAATTACAACTATGAACATTACCACTCTCAAAATGATTCTCCCCTTTAGCTAAAAGTTTCGGATCGTTAATAAATTCAACTATTCGATGAAACTTGAAAGCTGAAGATATTTTAGGACTATAAGACTCGGATATACTTTAAAAAATTAGACAATCAAAATCAAAATAAGGTGTTCTAATATAAGAAAGCTTTTCTAAGAACTAAACTATAAGTTTAAAGTTTTGGTTCAGAGTTGTCGTGTATTTCTTATGGGGAAATTTGTGATAACGGTTTGTTTGGAACCGTGCTTGTTATCATCACAATTTGTGACGTCACACTATTAGGGTCTATAATATTATTTTCACTCACCGACTTTCTGATTACCACATAAATAGGGAATCCCAGTGAATCTATTTTGATACAAATTATTTACATATTTTGGAACATTTTTGGACATAGCACATTTGAGCTCGTCGTTTTGTACACAGCCTTGACATAGCATGGACTTAAGATTTGCGTGCACTACAATAAACGGATTATCAAGGACATAACCTTTTCCGTTTTAGCGTATTTTCTATTTATTTTTAGCATAAAATGGACATAGTACGTATGTGCTCTTGATTATATATTGTGTAATGATTTTAACGATGTCAATATCTCAATTATGCCAAATTGGACATAGCACATGTGTGCTCTTAGGTATCGATATCATAACTAGAAATTATATAAATTTTAATTTTATTTATTATGTATATAATATATGTATAATATGTATATATATAATGTACAATATAAATATACAGTATCTATTCATTATTGGCTCTATAATAATAGTATAATTGGAGTCACATCTTAGATACATTTGATAAAATACTTATTTCTTTGTTGTATTTTGTATACATTTTTATTTTAATAAATTCTCATAAAGAATTAAAATAATAAATGCTTACCTTAATGTTATTGCTAATTTTTCAGCCGCTGTAATTGGTTCTCCAACTCTGTTACAAGGATTTATTTTTATGTTATCTTCGATGAGGCTTAGAACATAGTTGAATTGATCCCAACTTAGCCTAAAAAACTCTGAATTTTCTGTCGTCTCGATATAAATGCTTTTCAAATAAAATATTAAAAAAAACCTTCCATTTTTCTAGCTCGAAACATCTCGTGAACTTTTTTTGTTTTATTACATAGTATATGTTTGATTATCATTTCTTCTTCGTCTACTTCTTCTAAAAGCAGATGTAGAAGATCTTTTTTCTTTTTACTGAGCAACATGGATAAAAAATCAAACACGATACACGACAAAAAGGTAAAGTGAAACACGATGCAAACGATTATTAACGATTAATGATATCATATCATATTCTTAAAATAACATATGATCTTATTATGATGATAATAAAGTAAATAAGTTCTGCCGCGCGTCTGCTGCGGCTGCGATTTGTAGTTAAGAAATACCTATTTAGTCACGCGTCACTAGACGCTTCCTTAGGAATCGCACCTTAAAGCTATTACTATACCAGATTTCTCTTATACCGACGCAAGAAAATACATAAAAAATCACACGATTGAAAGGTGGCAACAATATTGGTCAAATCAAACAACCAAACTCAACGAAATTAAAAAAACAATAATACCATGGCCTCCCCCTCTTGGCTGTTCTAGAAGATAAGAAACAATTATAAACCGACTAAGAATAGGTCATACGCCATGTACCCACCGAAACCTTATGACAAAAAGGATCCTCCCAACCTCTTGTGGCGTCCAACTCACGATCAAACACATCTTCACTGAGTGCAGAAAAAACCAACAAGATCGTATTGAAACTTTCGGAACCACTCACCTATACGAAATCCTCAGCCCGGAATCAAACGCAATTCAAAAATTATTTATTTTTCTAAAAAAAATCCACTTTATATAAAGAAATTTAACTTGTATATATAATAAGTATAAAAGTTATGTAAATATGTATTAATAATGTAATTTACTGTCTGACCAATGGCCAGAGCTGCCACGGTCTTTTACGTTTAATAATAATAAAAAAAAATATATAGAAGTTAGAATCAATGCTGAAGAGTGAAAGGAAATTGTAGATCCTGCAGGTGGAGCATCATCCAAAATAGAAGTCACTGTGTGATGGCATATAATTTCCAGCTGCGTTCATGCTTAGAATATTAGTTGTTAATAATTTAAAACACTATGTTCACTTGATGTAATACCATAAATTTGTTGAACAACATATTAGCCAACAAATGTTGACATTTTCTTAGGACAAGTTGTAATACCAGTTTCATCAACGTTGAATAATTTACCAGGCGAAAACTGGTATTTTTCATACAAACAATTTAATAGATTAAAAAAATTACCAATTGTTATTTTGTTAAATCTTTGAGTGCGACTAGCTGACATTCTTTCAGGTGTACGGAGTGATTATTGAGGATGTTTTTTTAAAAAACCATACACTCAAACCTTGTCTAGACGTATATAATTGCATGTTTCATGGCTTCTTCTGACCAAATTTGACGATTAGTTGTTCTTTAATACTTCCCCATAATAGTTAATGCCTAAAATAAGTTGTAGGTAATAATAAATAATTTATTAGCATTGTCAGTATTACCAATTAGAAACAATTTTTAGCGCCTAAACAAATATTGTACTGATATTTTGTTGAACGTAGATACAATAGGAATATAAATAATTTAAGTTGTTAATAAAATGATAAATGTTCAACATTTTACAAGAGAACTATACAAAACACATTTGTATAAAAATATTTTATAATAAAAACATTTCAAGTTTTTAAGATTCTAGTAGAACGTAACTCTGGCTAAAATGGGGTACCCATTACCTACTAAATAAATAATAATAATTACCTGTTACCAATATCCGAAAAGAGACCGTAAAAACGTGATTCACTGTCATTGAAATAGTTTCTACGCTACAAGTTAGGGAACATTATTTTTTTGTGATGAGAATATTTGATTACGAACAAATATTTGAACATCATATGTTTTGTTAAGCCTTATATCGATAAATTTACGATTTATTTATCCTTATCACCAATCGATTCCAGTGTGACCAATAACACCAATACAATATTAACCCACATTTCCCCTACCTACTTAAAAAAAATACAATTGATTGATTTTAAATTAAAAAAAATATTGTTTGGCCTAATTATAATTTAGTACATTTAATCAGTATCCAAAGTAAATAATAATACGTCATCAATCGTTACATTTAATATATAATAATTACTATACAATTATTTAAATATTCAATGTATGTAGAATATATAGGTATTAATTGTTTAAATTGTTTTAATAAAAGTAATCTAAATGTGGCTAAGTTACTTTTTTACTAGTACAAAAGATAATGAACCTGAGAACTGTATTAATAAAGATAATGTCAACGATGAATCAATCAATATTTCATCAAAAGAAGAAGAGGAACCAGAAATTAATGATTTGAGAAATAGAGTTGAAAAGGTAAAGGAGATACACAAAAAATTACAAGCATTACAAAATAAACAAGATATACATTTAAACAATAACACCACAAATACCTTTCAAGACAAAGACCTACCATGCGCGTCTAAGAATAAAGATGAAGAAAAATTAGAAATAAATAATTGTAAAATAGAGGATGTCTTGAGGATTATACCAGTTCTAGAAAATAATATACAATCACTTACCGAGAAAGTAAATATAAATCGATTTGTTAGTAAAATGTTTTCATGATTTTTTAATTATTGTAGGTATCTTGTTTATCTGGCTTATTAAATGCGAAAGAGCTCAATTCTAAAATAGTAACTGAAAAAAATATTATTTCAAACAATTCTAATATAAATAGTGCTTCGAACTCTTTAAATAAATTGAACGGTGTAGTGAATGAAACAATACCAACAAATAAAGATACCACCCTGGGAGTAGTTTCTAAAGAAAATAGTGAAATGCGGAAAAATAACCGAAGTCTTATCATAAAAAAAAAATATCGTTATCAAAATGTTAAAATTAGAAGAAATACTACCAAATCTATTAATAAAGATGATCAAAAAGGAGAACAAGTAACGAATGAAGAAAATGAACTCTTTTACAGTGTTAAGTCGATTGACCAGTTGACCAGTTTAAATGGGCAATTAGAATCCTTTTTTACAAAAATACAGTCAGCATTGACTCAATATAAAATTGACCAAGTGAAAGAAAAATCAGAAATAATGCTTAATCTGTCCAGACTGGAGGATCAAATTAATATGAACTATTCGAAAATGGATAAATTAATGTCCAATGTCGAACAGTTAAATAAAATAAATGATCCTGTCAATCACGTAATTTTGAAAAATCACCCAAATCTTGAAATACAAAATAAACATGAACTGCAAAAAAGTATAGACGATATTAAAACCTGTGTTGATTACCTTATAAAACCGAATACAATTGATATACTAAAAATTCAACAGTCCGTTACTGCCGATACTCCAATCACAAACACAAATATTAATGGCTCGTGTAACTCGAATCGGTGTGTTTGCAAATTAATAGACAATACTAATACTGCTAGTATACAGATTGTAAATTCAAATGATGATACAAATCAAATAAAGTATAATGGTGATATCATTTTATGCGAGTTTTTAAGAGCGAACCTAACTTTGGAAAGTTTAAAAAAAGACGATCATCAACAAATACCACAGGTAAAACATTTTTCAAATCAAATCGACTCCAATAAAAACAGCCATTTATTATTATGTTCAAAACAATCAAAACTTTCTTCAAATATTTGTGATAGAGATCAAATCTATAACCAAAAATCTAGCCAATCATCAGTATGTTCAAAAAAATCAAACCATCTAAAAAAAAATGGTAGACGACCCGAAAAACCAAAAATTAACCATTTAATCGTATGTCCCAAGCAATCGATCCATCATTTTTTAAAAAATGACGTTGACAATTATACTACATCATACCAACCAAATACAAAAAAACTAGCTCGTGAAAAAAATAAGATTTGTGATTTTCTTTCGTCTCAGCCAATTCCAGAATGGATAAGACTCGACGAGAATTTCATTAAATCCGAAAATCTATGCTGCAAGGATTCTATTAAATCATCACCATCAAATTGCACTTTAAATGTTAGTAAGTTCTATAACATTGAACGAATAATTAACGACAGCCATGACAAAAATGATAATATAGTTTATGAAATTACACAGAAACCCAATGTTCCAAAAGAAAACAAAAGCGACTGTAATTTCGACGAACAAAATTTATCACCATGTAATAGTCTTAACAATGAAACTTGGAACATGAAATAAACTTGGTAAATTTACAGTGAAACTTATTAGAATTATTGAGAAAAGTTTACTTGTTCCCAGGATTTATCTACTACCTATACTCTGTGCCAGAAAATAACATAACTGCTTTCGCATGTTGACTGTCACCAGTGACTGTTCTAAGTTACAATTCCTCTCCTTTTTGTGCTCCGATAGTATAGGTTGAATATTTCTAAATTATATCCACAGATTATAATATTATTATATTATCAGATTGCGCACTTAGATGTGAACAAAAACTTAGCTGATAACATCTCCGCCGAAATCAGAGTGACCATGTCAACGGATTAAAACTATTTAATGTTAATCTTATAATCTAGCTGTCCTCATTGGTGGGACGGGTACAGATTTCCCGATTTTGATAAGCGAAATTTTTTTAATGATATCTCGATATACCACAACTCGTACCAGAATATACCAGAGATCCAGCAGTGACACCACCAATAAGAAATAATTTACAGTGATGCCTTGTTAGCGGCACTCGTCGCTACGCTCCTCGGCGCCGTCGCTCCGCTCCGCAAATCGAAAATATCCCTCGACTTGCTATGCAACACCACCTCAAGTTGGTCACTGTGTAACCGCTGTTATACCAAAGAACAACCACTCTTATCATTTCGGCCAAAAGCTTATCACTACCGCTATCAAAATCGGGAAATCTGTCAAAGTCCCCCTCATTGGTCGGGCGAACCAGTTTTAAGTGGACATCGGGTGAAAAATAGAGTTAGGAAAGCTATTTTTACTAAGTTATATTTAATATATAAATAATGGAGTATGTGAACAAACTGAAAATTTCAAATTTCAAATTTCGGCGGAGGCTAATCAGAATACCTTTTACTTTTGTCTATTGCGCTATCTGTTTTCATATAAACTGTGTCATAGCGTTGAGTGCGGAATGCTCAGATTCGGACGAGTTTGGTGGGATCACTGTAATGTTCTCTCAGGGCGCACTGTGTGGGGTACATAATCTGTAAATACTGTATTCCAAATAAGTTGAGAAAAGTCTCATAGTCGAATGAACGGTCGTAGCGTTGTAATTGGCTGTAGTATCGGCATGTCGATTACTCAACGTGCCGCGGTGTATACAAAGAATCATGATGATAATTTAACACGATCGCAATACGCGGAGGTACATTTACGGTCAATTGTATATTATTTATTTATTTATTTATTTATTTATTTATAATAGTAAACGGGATAGGCCCTTGACATTTATATAAAATTAATAATTAACAAAAATATAATACACTATAACATACATAATATTAACAGATAATAATGTAGTACAAAATAATTACACACAATAAGATGATTAGATGTTATAGGATCCATCATTAGCTAGTGCCATCATACGCAAAATGGGTTCATTATATAAGTAATTTGTCGCACAGAACGGGACCCGGAAAGGAGAAAAGTTGCGCAGATTAGCGCCGGGAACATTAAAATTAACCCTCCCTAACATATCTGGAGCGTCAACTTCCCCACTCAAAAGTTTCGATAAGAACACCAAATTAGCATTTTTCCTTCTAGTACTCAACGTCTCCATATTTAATTTCGCTAGAACTGGTGCATAATCATGTGGAAGGCAGTCAATACGAAGTACAAAAGAAGCAAATTTTAAGAATTTACGCTGGACACGCTCGATTTGGAAAGAATCACGTAAATTCTGAGGGTCCCAGATCACTACCGCGTATTCGAGGTGGGATCGCACAAACGCACAATAAAGGGCTTTCAAAGAACTACACATATTGAACTCAGATGAAATTCTTTTTATGAAACCAAGCATTTTTAAGGCCTTGCACGTGATTTTTTCAATATGGAGATTAAAACTTAAAGTCCGGTCAAATGTGACACCTAGATCAACTACATGGCTACCAGAGAAACTTAAACTAGTACCATCAACTAGATAATCGTGCCGAATATGGCTATGGGAACGCGTGAAAGACATATAATGACACTTAGGAATACAGAGATCTAAACCAAGCTGTCTAGACCAAATTACCAGGGCATTAAGTTCACTTTGGAGCAGAACGCAATCACGAGAGGAATCAATGCGAAGGAATAATTTAATATCATCTGCAAATACGAGAAATCGGCAATTCTTTATTACGGAGCTGATGCCGTTAATGAATAGAGCAAACAATACAGGGGATAAGTGACCACCTTGCGGCACACCTGACGTAATATTAACCATACTTGAACACACACCATTTAATTTTACGAATTGTTTTCTACCCGTAACATAAGACTCAAACCATGATAGGAGCGGTTCACCGAAACCGGTTGCACGGAGTACTTGAAATAAGACTTTATGACTCACACGGTCAAAAGCCTTGGCAAAGTCAGTGTAAATCACGTAAACTTGAGAGCGATTCCTAAAGGCATCAAGTACATAATTGGTGAAGATAGCGTTACAGGTTGTAGTAGAACGGCCAGAACGAAAACCATGTTGTTCATCAATAAGAACGTGATTCACAGACTTTTGAATCGATTGTAGAACAAGGGATTCAAAAAGCTTAGCAACGTGGCAAATTTTGGAGATTGGTCGATAGTTGGAGACAATAGACTTATCACCAGATTTGAAAATGGGCGAGACTGAACTTACTTTCCATATATCTGGAAATAAAGATGGATATTCCAATTTCCTAGAGTGAATTATAAAGATCATTTTATTAGAGGAGGGCCACCAGGATGTGTAGGCACATCAAATAAATCAGGGTGGATGCAAGGAGACCAATTCTTAGAATTCATGCAACATTTTGTCAACCATGTAAGACCCACACAAGAAAAAAAGGTGCTGATACTATTAGATAACCACGAATCACATTTATATTAACCCGTAATAGATTAATGTAGAGAGAATGGCGTGGTGTTGCTTTCATTCCCCCCTCATTGCTTCCACAAACTTCAACCTTTAGACAGGTCAGTGTTTGGTCCATTCAAAAAATTAATTAACCAAGAAATGGATTCTTGGATGAAGAGCAACCCTGGTAAAAGGTTTACTATATATGATTTGCCTTCTATTACTTCTAATGCCCTTGTAAACGCAGCTACACCAATAAATATTATAAATGGTTTTTCTGTGTCTGGTGTATGACCATTCAATAGAAATGTGTTTAAGGACAATGAATATGCACCATCAACTGTTACAAACATTGTATTAGATAGTAACAGATAACATGCAACCTAATGAAACATCTGATAACACAGAAACAGTTATAACAAACATAATAACTGAAACATTAAGTCAAGAACCAATATCAACTATTTCACCTGAGAGTATTAGACCTTATCCTAAAGCCAAATAAGCTCAAAAAATTGCAAAAAAGGGTGGGAGAAAAAAAGGAACAACTAAAATACTAACAGACACACCAGAAAAGAATGAAATTGAACAAAATGCTAACAAAAAAAATAACATTGCTAAACGCAAACTATTATATACAGAGGCTAGAAAAAATAAACAAACATCCAAGAAAAATAAGATAATTGATGAAAGTGATGAAGATGATGATGCTTTTTGTACGGTTTGTTCAGAACTTTATTCAAAAAGTAAAAGTGGAGAATCGTGGATTCAATGTCATAGGTGCAAACTTTGGTCTCATGAAGCTTGTACTAAAAACAACTTCACTGTATTTTATATCTGTGATAATTGTGAGGCTGATGATATTTAACTATTATATTGTAACATTGAGATTGATATTGTTTTAATTAATTATTTTTAAGTTATAATCTTTTAATAAACTTTATATTGTTTTATTATTTTATTAAGTAAGTTTTACTACTATTTTTAAATTTTTATATTTTGTTATAAAGGCTCTAACTATAAAAATATTATAACTTGTTCCTTATTATTATATTCGGTATGTTCTACCACTGTTTTTTAATATTTGTATTTTGTTATAAAGGCTTAAACTATGAAAATATTATAACTTGTTCGTTATTATTATATTAGGTATGTTCTACCACTATGTTTTGATTTTATTATTTAGTTATAAAGGCTTATACTATTAAAAATCTAATTTTGATTAATATATTATGTATGCGTTACATTTTTCCCCTAGTACTGTTGCAATTGACCCAGAACCTTGTACAATTGTAACATTTCTTTTTTTTTTTTAGATCAGATTTTACAGCTTCACATGTGGAAGTTAATGTTCAATTTATACATATTTCTTAAGATTACAAGTTACTGAATCAGTTGAGTGCAAGATCAATGCTAAAAAGTTTAAATTGTCCCATAATAAAATAATAGTATGAAAAATGTTATAATAGTACCCGGTCTCCCCTACCTAAAGTACTTGCATCTAAATCTATTAGCTCAGCGGATTAAACCGGAGAAAAGTAAGTTGAGAATAAATTGTATGTCGTTTTTCATTGGTTGAGGTAACATTATTCTAAGAAATTTCGTTGGGAATATTATTTTGGTAAAGTTTAGATTTTAATATATTCCAATTTGCTAGCATTCATACTTCATAGTTATTAATTTTAATAGTTAACATAGGATAAGAAAACAAAGTAAGAACAGTTCACCTATCGTCATAGATTCTAAACTAAAATAAAAAAACTGGATGAATATTGTTTAATTAAAATAATATAGTATTTTATAATACGTGGGTCAGTATCTGTTAACAATATATTATAGGGACATAGGTACTCATAAATTTTAGTCGTTTTTCGGCATTTAAGTTACAAGGTATATCCCCAAAGGTTAACATACAACCTATTTGCGTGTTATTGTGGGCTTGCATTAAGATAAGAATTCAATAAGCATCAAAATATGCTTACTCTGACGTATATTTGTTAGAAGTAAATAGTAAATAAGTTTCTCCCCAGAGCGCTAGTTTCCAACGGTGTTTAATGTAATGAATGCATGTCTTTCCATATTTGTCTGAGCTGTAAACCGCTAGTTGCGCTAGTGTCGTCGGTGCATCGACTATGAAACGTTTCACTTCGTTCGTTTACTTCACTCTTTCGGCGGACGACTG